GCTTCCGTAGTTGGTTTCGGTGTCTAGTCCACGTGTCTCTTCCCACCTTCATCTTGTACATAACGTGGCCTAGTCTTCCAACCACACATGCCTCGATCCAAGGACCATGATTTGCACTGTAGTCTCGAGCGAACACAGGGCATCCAACCTCGTAGGCTGGAAGCTTCTGAGATTTGGTCTGGGATGGTGGCGGTGTGGTTCTTAGGCACGTGAGACTATGGATCGTCCTCAATTTCCTTCCCATCAGGATCTCTGCCGGGGACTTCTGCTGTGGTAGCATATAATAATAATAATAATAGTTTATTCTCAAATAACGGTTTGTTACATGAGGCATGCCAGTTTACAGGCAAGATCAAATTGATACAAATGATACAATATTCACTGTAGTAAATTACATAGCTGGGTTGATAATTTATAAGATATGAATGTAGATGGTTTTAAGCAGTTCTACAGTTAGCGCGCTTCATGAAAGTTGCGTTGCAAATGTGCAACCGATGGTCGAAGATAGGTCCATTGAAGGTATGAGCTTCTAGAAACCGCAACCTTATGTCCCTTTAGAATATCCAAGGCTTTAAGGATGGTGCAGGATGAAGTCACCCGTTCCATATCTCAAGGGGGCTGAAAGAGGGAGCAAGTAAAAGAAAACACGAGGGGCAGAGTAGCCAACATTCATGAAGGAATGTTTAAGGTATGATTACTCAGTCTAATTTTCTTTTATTAAGGTATTTGTTAAGAAATCGCATTTTAATAGGTTAAAGAAAATAAGTGATAACAAGGTATGAGTGGACATACAACTGACAAATGGAGGCGATTCGTAAAGGAGCTGAAAGTATGGGATTATTTGTGATTATAAAATAAAATCTAGTGCTAGAAACAGTATTGTGATATACAATTGACTATCTTCCCTTTTTTATCGAAACTATTGGAGCCCTTTTCATCTCTTTTTGTATTATTATTTTTAATTTTTAGGTATCATAGGGTCTTGAGTAGGCTTCGTATATTATCGAATTGTCTAGTTTGCTGGTAATAGGATTTCTGGGTAGGAAGTGAAACCAATTCAACGTTCGTAACACGATTTAAAGAGGTATTTTGCATGATAAATCAGCATCAATACCATAAGTTCGTGAAATCCCACTAAAACATAAGGAGCCGTAATTAAACAAAATGTTCTGCCCTACAGACATGGGTGGATTGAAGTTATCTCCCCACCTTCATGTTTGCTGGTCAGTAACGCCATCACTAGGTGTTGTTCGGTAAACAAACAAGAAATTCTGCAGTGTTTCTACTGGCGTCTCCTCCCCTTTCGTCTTCATTAGAGCTCTCTTGAATGCATCCACAAATCTTTCTGCCTGGCCATTTGACTGTGGGTGGTAAGGTGGAGAGCGGAAATGCTTGATCGATAGGCGTTTGCAGAATTCTTGAAATTGACTTGAGGTGAATTGCGAACCGTTGTCGAATACGATTATATCCGGCAGTCCGTTGCGAGAGAACATCTCTGTCAAAAGTTGCATCGTTTGGGTTTGTCGTTGGTGGAATTACGAGAACGATTTCTGGCCATTTCGAAAAGGCGTCAACAACAACTAGATAGGTGATTCCATTAATTAGGCCTGTGAAATCAACATATATCCTGGACCAGGGATACCCAGGCTGTGGTCATGGGACCGGCAGTACTTTCGCGTTACACTTAGCTGCTTGCTGACACTGTGTGCACTTGCCTACTAAATCCACAATATGTTGGTCTATGAAAGGCCAATTAGCATAGTCTCCGGCGATGGATTTCATTCGTTTTATACCAGGATGACCAGTGTGGAATTGCTTCAGCACCCTTGATCTTAGCGATTCTGGTACCACTACTCTACCTCCAAACATCAGGCACTCGTTTACGACACATAATGAGTCCCGACGGTGGTAAAGCTGCTTCAAGTCACCATCGAGTCCAGTTGGCGGCTAGTCAGTGGTGACGTATTTCATCGCTGTCTTCATGATGGGGTCGTTCTTGGATGCAGATTGTATTTCAGCTGCTGAGACTGGCAAAGCACGAATAGTGGTTGTCATGTAACATTGCGCGTAGTCCTCTGTCATTAGGGAGGCAATAACTGCATCGTCGTCGGCCGTAGGGTGTTCGCTGGTTTAAAACTCCTTCAATAGTTCTTTCGAATATGCTTCAGGTTCATAAGGTTGTTCCACCAGATGGCATATGGTGCTTAACGGAACGTTAGCTAAATGCAGCCGGTGAAATCAGTCTAACCCAAGTACATTAAGATCAGCTGGTATGATGTAACATACCTCGGTAAACATAGAATCGTGAAAAGGCACTTCACAATCTAGTTATCCCAACAAACGTAGATAATTACCGCATGCGGTTCGAGGTTTCTGTGTTGTTGGCACCATGCGTGGTCTTCCCATTCTGATCCAATATTTTCGTGAGAGAATTGTTACATCAGATGCAGTGTCTATTTGCAATCTAAACGGGTGCCCATTAATATTAAGGGTAATACATTTCCTCTGAACTGGTGTTGAGTTCTCACAACTTGCTATTGGACTCAACGAATTCGTGTTGTATCTAGCCGTAGGTTTTCTGGTACCTCTGGAGCTGCTCGGCTTCTTTTTTCGACAAAAACCATCTTTATGACCCCCCGCATTACATTTCCTGCACCGATGATGCTTATATGGACATTATCGAATAAAATGCCATGCACCGCAGTGCCAACATGGGGCAGGAGGATTTGTTTTTGTCTGTCGACCTGAACTAGATGTTGCTGGGGCAGACTTATGAGAGTCGGGTGGTTGTTGGACTACATGAATTTCGGCACGATCTGAACCACCACGCTGGACCATCGTAGTATCACGCTCTAGATTGATTAGACGTTGATGTTCGTTTGCAATATCATTAAGAGTTAGTTTTGGGTCTTGGTCCAGTCGACCTAGCACAAATGTTCTAATGTCACTGAAATTCTGCGATTGAAGGCTGCAGATGAGAATTAGTGCTTTAAATTGGTCTTCAGTAAGCGACTTCAACCGGAAGCGTTCACATTCTCGGTTGGATATACCCACATGTGTGGGAAAATCATCATCTTCGTTCATAGTGAGCTTCAAACATCGATAGCGCGCATTGAGTAGTGAGGAATTGTCTCCGAAGTGTTGGCTCAATGACTGGACAGTGTCGGAGAATGAACGATCGCGTGGGTTTAGAGCCAGGATTTGGTTGCAATACCTGTTTAATTACGGCTCCTTATGGTTTAGTGGGATTTCACGAACTTAAGGTATTAATGCTGATTTATCATGCAAAATATCTCATTAAATCGTGTTACGAACGTTGAATTGGTTTCACTTCCTACCCAGAAATCCTATTACCAGCAAACTAGACAATTCGATAATATACGAAGCCTACTCAAGACCCTATGATACCTAAAAATTAAAAATAATAATACAAAAAGAGATGAAAAGGGCTCCAATAGTTTCGATAAAAAAGGGAAGATAGTCAATTGTATATAACAATAACTGTTTTTAGCACTATATTTTATTTTATAACCACACATAATCCCATACTCTCAGCTCCTTTCTGAATCCCCTCCATTTGTCAGTTGTATGTCCACTCATACCTTGTTATCACTTATTTTCTTTAACCTATTAAAATGCGATTTCTTAACAAATACCTTAGTAAAAGAAAATTAGACTGAGTAATCATACCTTAAACATTCCTTCATGAATGTTGGCTACTCTGCCCCTCGTGTTTTCTTTTACTTGCTCCCTCTTTCAGCCCCCTTGAGATATGGAACGGGTGACTTCATCCTGCACCATCCTTAAAGCCTTGGATATTCTAAAGGGACATAAGGTTGCGGTTTCTAGAAGCTCATACCTTCAATGGACCTATCTTCGACCATCGGTTGCACATTTGCAACGCAACTTTCATGAAGCGCGCCGACGGTGATACTGACTAAAACCATCTATATTCATACCTTTTAAATTATCAACCCAGCTGAGTAATTTATTACAGCGGGTGTTGTATCATTTTTGAAAATTTGATCTTGCCTGTAAACTGGCATGCCTCATGTAACAAACTGTTATTTGAGAATAAATTTTTATTATCATTATTAGTTCACTAGTACTCAACCTTCTAAGCAGCAAGCGGACCTTCCAAGCGTCATCGTGATTAGCAAGGTCGAATTTGAATAAGTCTTCGTAACGTCGAAACCACATATCAAACGTGACATTGGATACTGGATCGTAATGAAACTCGGAGATTCTGTTAGCAATGCCATCAACTGATGGTGCAGTTGTAGTAGGATTTGAGCTGCTTGGTTGAGAATTAGACGTTAGCTTTGTATCTGCTAACATTTGAATAAGTTTCTTCTGCTGCTTGAGTAATAATTTAAGTTTAGAAGGATCCATGTTTCCAAAATCACCGTCGCCAAATTGTTAGGTTTGAAGCTTCACGAGTTCACTTGATCTGCGAACGAGAACATGACTCAGTGACCAAAGTCCAGTAATCTCGCTATTGATGCGTTCCAGCCCCCCTATCTAGAAGGAGAAGTTCAAGCTGGATATGGAAAATATATTCTGCAAACACCCAGAAACGAGCGAGCCCACAAAAACAATTTAAAACGTATATATACAAATATATATAATCGATATTGTCATAGTAAAATGTCTTTTTAAACATGACTCATTAAGTTCATCAATCGACAGGCATTCCAATTTTAATCGATAAGTTCATCATTTGACTTCCATTCAAATATTTAAACATTTAATCGATAAGTTAATCGATATGATAAAATTACAAATATGAATTTTCGGGGATATACCGTCCCAGCAATACCAAACAGTAATGAAGGGATTGAAAACTTAGACAACACAACTTAATGCCGTTTTCGACAAATATGATATATTGTTGGTGATGCACAGACAAGATCATAGAGATTCAAAGTGGTGGTGAGCGTTCAGTGCTATCGTCTACATGTCTGTTTTTCACTTGTGCCTTAAAACCCCCTTCAAACCAATAAAAATCCTGTGCGTAGTGATGTGAGTGAAACACACTGTGGAAATTTCCAACGCACTTTCACTGATGAACTATGTGGTCATAACATCATAGCCTTTTATTTGTATGTAATAAAAAGTTGGATTCGTTTGTTGCAATCAGGAATATCACACAGCGCGAAATTGTAATTTTCTGGCACGTCCGTTCAATGCTAGTGCTTCTTCTTTATCTGTCGTTTTCCAAAGTAGTACATTCGTCTTACCACATCAGAGATAACTCACTTGTTCCTCCATATTCAGGTCGTAAGTTCTTTATTTATTCAAAGTTTTGTCTCGTCCTCATGTGGGTTATTAAGAACTTCAATATGCAGTACTGAATACGTATCTTTTTCATAAGATTGTATAAACCGATTGGTTTCTTTTGCTTGTTTTTCTTGTTCCGATACAGTTCCAGTGTTGTTCGGCTTAGTCTCTTTTCATTGCCCCAAATATAATCCTACTCCGTAACCATGTTGACGCGGTTTTATAAATAATATATTTTCAGGAATCAACTTTTACGTTGCCTAAGCTTACTTTTCGGCCTGAAACGCAGTTAATATTGCAGAGTGTTACTGGATACTAAGTCGAAACACGCTGCTTACTGGCCACCATCGTTTTGCGTTTCAGTCATAAACGCTCACGACAATTTAATACAGCAGCAATAGGGCATAAATGGAGGCCGTGACAAAAGATGCACTAAAGACCGGTCATTTAAATTCTGTATTTGAGCTCATTAGTACGTTCCATTCCTTGTTTTAAAAAAATAAACTGACAAAATGACTAGGCATTAAAAATACGACTACAAAAGACAAAACAGGATAAAAAACAATTTTTTTACGTACACAAACACAAGGGATAGAGGTGTTTATGTACTGTTGCAAATTGACTCAGTCATTAGCTGTTAACGTCGTACTGTTATGTGAGTTGAAATAAAGTAATTCGGTGAGACCACAATTTACGGACGACCTTAGAGCTAAGCTAGACTGACCTTGAGTGTCCACCTAATATCTACGACCAAATGAGGGTTCTAAACCTGTGTGCGGAATTAGATCTATGTTTTACAGTTGATGATTAACGTTAGGAATTAGATTTCGAGTTTTCGTCACGAAGTGACATGAGCTATAATGCCAAAACTATCTAACCAAATTGGATGAGTGAATTCCGTGCCAATATCCGAGGCCCATTATCATATACCTTATTGGTTCATCCATGAATTATAGTTTCGCCAGTATTTCTATTATTTAGCATTCTGTCTTTGTACATCAAAAAGTTTTCAACACCAACTGTCCAATACTACGAAATTTTCCTCCAACATATCCTAGAACTGATCATTAGAAAATATGTACATTCGAGACAGAACGATCGATGTTATTACAACAGACATGTAAGTCGAACCCCGGAATCCCAACTAATATAGACTAGCTGGCACTTAAATTAAAGTGCATCTGCCGGGTTCGTGTTTGAAATTTGTTTACCTATTTGTTTAAATAGAATTTTGGGATTATTGGTTATGTCAGCTCGTGGTAGAAATCTTAACCCTACCTATCAATCCTAATTTCTAACTCCTCATTCCTCAATGGTTTGTAATCATATTTCGACCCTACTCAGTGGTTAGGGTGTAATCGGGGCCACTCTACTATCGTTGAAAAGTCGTCTATAAGTCATAGTCTTGCTGATTAACTTAGTTCGCACTGTTCTTTATAAAAAAACTAAAAATATTGAACAAAATGCAGGTATATAGGCCACTTCATTTTTTTTCTTTGATCCACCTCTGCCGTTACACACTGTCCTAACAGCGAAAATGGAATTTTGTAAAGCCAAATAGACAACAACAAGGCTAGTTCTCAATGTTACTGAGTTTATCTCGCCTGAATAAACCAAATATTTACATAGAATCCGTAATTATTTATCAATCAGATGTAAACGATTTATCAAAATTAGGTTTCCCCAAACTTTATAAATATTAAAAATAGCTATAAACTTCAGATGATGAAACTAAAAACCGATAATTGTGGTACAAATTAGTTCACACTTCCGCATTGAAATTTCAAACATTTAAGTAGTGCATGATTGTTTCTCTGTTTATTCCCTAAAAGTTTCATGTCTTTAATTTCTCCATTGGTAATCAGATGTATAGTGCTTTTTGTACGTGCTATATTGTCGTGCGTTTCTATCATTGTATAACTAGGATAGTAAAGCTTGAAATGGCTTAGAGAGCTTTTTAAATACAAAAACCACTGGAATATAGCAAACTGTTCAACAGTAGTTATTGACATCGAAATGACATGAAATTGAAGAAAGTGTCAAACCGATGCAACTTGGTGACTTATTTCACTTTTTGAGTTCTGTAATTTAAACAAGGAAACAAGTACAAAAAACATGAAAGTAAGAAAGGTTTAAAACCTTTGGCTCGGTATTTAAGAACCAAATTAAACTGCTGAGCTACATCTCAGGGAATTTGATTTTAGAAGATAAAGGGCCTTTTTCACACCCATATCATTAGCCATTTCCCCAAACATCCGTACTCGCTTCCAAAATATGAAAAAGCAGAGTTGATAACAATTGGAGTGGTAAAACGTGACTTCCCTTACAAATATTCCGCCAACTGGGTTTTCTCAAAATTTTTGACAACATCACGCGCGTTAGTTTTAAAATTCGTTACCTATCACAGTTTACTGTAATAGATTTTAGTAGCCTTATTTTTCTAACTTTTTCTTAAACATTTTCCCTCATACTAAGACGAACACAACCGTCCGGTGTTTCCAAGTTTTCAGTGGTGGTCTAACTGAGTCGGTTCATGATTTCAGTGAGATTCTCCCCCAAGTTAGTCTTAATTTGTGCCTTTGTGTTGGTGATTTGTTGCCAACTTATTACTAAGGCTATAATTTCAGATGTCGTTAGCGAAGTAAATGAGTTATTTTACTAACCTCCCATAAAGTCTTGTGTTTTAGCTGAGACAGTATCCTGTTTTGAACGATATTACCGTAATACTATAATTGAATACATCCGTGATTGTCTGAGTGTTTTAGTATCCCTTATTCAGTATAAACTCATGGTTTTTTAGGATTTCATGGGTTTCTATTCTTGAGGGTTTAGGTAGTTTTCATATCATCTCAATACAAATCACGTTTTCCTTTCTTCGGTTTTGAATTTGAAGCAGTAAGGCTAATAGTGGTGTGACTCACATTCAATCATTATTGGTATTTATATATCACTTAAACGTATATATATATATATATATATATATATATATATATATATATATATATATATATAATTTTTTGATAGCTCACTGGGTACCTTATGGATCAACGATTATTGAACCTCAGTTTGTACGCCTAACTTCCGATGTAAAAAGTAATCAAGGAGGTATTTTCAATATAAAACCTTTATTTGCTCGTGATTGGGAGGTGGTTATTTTGTTCCATGTTCATAGTCCCAAAACTCTGGTCGGTGATGGATTTGCTTTCTGGTATACTCAACATCCTCCTTCAAGTGGTATGTTATTTTAAAGTTCTTTCGCTAATTAAACTTGTTTATTCATAGGCCCAGCATTCGGCAGTCGAGATAAGTTCCGCGGGTTAGCCGTTTTCTTTGATACTTACGCTAATCAAAATGGTGAGCATAGTCATGAGCATCCTTATGTCAGTGCAATGATTAACGATGGATCTAAACACTATGACCATGATAAGGATGGAACTTTAACTGAACTATCTGGTTGTTCATCTAATTTTCGTAATAATGACTACTCAATGGCCACAATCCGTTACGCTAATAACCAGTTGAAGGTTAGCATTTTAACTGAATGTTTTTCTGCATAAGTGTATAAGTACAGTAGGAATGGCTTATTTCTATGTTTTGACACTTATTGTAGACTCGAATAACATACTCTCAAAATGTGTCATGATAACTAAATACATTGTTGCAAACTTAGCCCATGATCTATACTTATGTCAATTAAACTCAATAGCAACCAGTTCTTTAGAAAACTTCAATCAAAAATAGTTACTTTTCGATTTTATTTGCAATCTTTTATTATAGAGCACTTCCTAACACGCACTTTAGATGTCCTGTTGTCTTAAGTTTACCTCCGTCCGTAGGACTTAATAGATCAGTTGCTGTAGATTTCTAGCTTAGATAACACAACCCTACCATATTACATTCACTGATAAAACATAGTTTAATATCATTTTTATCATTTAGTGATCATAGGTTTTGCTATAAACTAAAAAAACCTTGGATTTGCGTCTCATGAACTTACTGTTTATCCACTAAGGGTTATTTTTGACGCTAACTATTCACAATAACTTCTGCTTTCTAAACAAACATAATCTATAACTTATTGGGACGCATGTCCATGCAACTGACGTCTCTACTTAGAGAAAATTTGTGGAAAAATATTAAATAAGAAATAAATTAATTCCTTAACTTAGTCGTCTTAATAAAGTATATAATTAATCAGTTATGACACATGCAGATTGTTGGTGGTGACAATATGACTGATGTATCACTTTTTTGTGCCAAAAACTTGAGATTGTTGTATATTTTGAACTATGTTTTTTCTGATGTTTGGTAGATGACAAGTTTGTTTACTACGTATGGAATTTCTAAATCTTTAGGTTTCTTTGAAATATCAAGGTGCTACAGATCCTGTAGACTGTTTCACAGTTGACGGAGTACGTTTACCTACTGGCTATTTTATTGGAATCTCAGCCGCTACTGGTGACCTTTCAGGTAATATAACATTGTTTCAATTACTAGGGCTAAAAATATACCTTGACTTTTTTTATAATCTTGTGTGAATTTCTTTCTAAATAGATTATATACATTCACTGAGATGTAAATACAGGAAAGATTGATTCAGGAGTTGAACCAATCTTCTATATCTCAGTAGTTTTTCATTTATCTAAAAATTCTGAGAACTTTTCGACAGTCGAGGGACTTAATGGTTTCCTACGCTATTCTTTCAAGGTTACTCAGCTGATTACGCAAATCAACTTTTGTAAACCATTCTCCATTTTGCTGAACTGTTTAGTCGGTTGGTTTTCAGTTTACTTCGCTGAATAATTTATGAACTGACAACAAACATCTAATTTAACAAATTGTAATCTCTTTGATTCACATTGTGAACTGTTTCCAATAATAATTTATCAGTACTAGTTCCATTTTCTTGTCTGACTAAAGTACACATAACTTCAGTACCAGTTTTTTACACATTATTTGATATGACATTACTATCAAATATGTAAAAGATGAGCATTATTTACAAATATTATGATTAGTACTGTCTTATCAAATAACTATGTGAAGTGCTTAAAAATTCAGCTTTGAATACTCTACAGTTAATTAAGTGCAATCAGTTATGATAGAATGATGATTTCAGGATAAAATGCGAAAATAAATATTTCAATGTTATGTATACAGTAATCTAGTTAAAAAGGAAGTTTAACAAACAAATAGGCATAAAAATAAGTGAAAATATAAAGTAAAAAGTGATTTGATTCATGATTAGACTAAGGAACCACCACATCATTATCTTCAACTTGAAAACAAAATTTAATACAATTAATACGAAACAGCCTATTTGGTTATAATTCGGTCGCATATACCAGATTTTTTCTATCCATGCTTAATCGTTATAAAGGTTTTCATGTTTTATAAGATTGAGGTGAACATGGGATGTGGGATGAGGTGTCATAAAATTAAGCTCTTCATGGTCCTCCTTTCATTGAGGTTATGTTTTCAGTGCTATTCTTCAGTTCAGTTAACATATGTTATCCCAGGTTAAGTAGTAATAATACTACTCGTTTAATGAGTACAAGTTTTTGTACTTGTCTTTGAAACAATTTTTGTATGAGTGTTATTGCTGATATACACCTGGACAAACTACGATATTTCGAAACCATGTACTTTAATCATCATTGGTTGGTTTTGTACACATTACTATTATTATTATTAGTTTTATTCAATATTACATTTTTGGTACAATATACAATTCTCAGCACAACGTATTTCAACAATTTTTTTTCTTATTTCTTGGCCGATCCTTGCGATAAGTATTGAGTGGTCGCCAGTTAGGTGTTAGTAGTACAGGAATCTACATCTGAATACTGTATATTCTTTTCACTGCATATTGCTAGCAACCACGATGTCTCTTTTGTGACTTGTACAGTGAAATCTCGTAAACTTTTCACAAACACACCTGGATAGATTATGAGACTAATATGCATAATAATGTGTTAAAACAAACAAGAAAATAGATAAATTGTTGAAATATCCAGATGGCAGGGACAGGTAGCCCAGATATTCAAGCAGGCTGCCTTATATGTGATTATGTACAAAAATAAAATCAATAAAGCTCGGTTAATTAAATATAAGGTTATCGAGTTATGTTAGAGGGTTAGAAAAAGAACTTGCGTAATGAGGTAATAACGTAAGGAAATGTTTATTTCTCTCTTAGCTCAATAATTTAATGCTTAATTAACTGACCTTTACTTATTTTATTCTCATTTGCGTTTGTTTATTACAGAACTACTTATTTCTAGTTTTTTACTATTATCATTGTTCCATGATACTTTACATATGGTGTGTACACATGGTTCATTCTCTTGACTTTATTTAGATCTTTGCTACACTATACCAAAATGTGTTCACATATGCTTCTAAATAAATTAATTTCTGTAATCATTTTCAACTCATTTGGTAGTTTTGATTTTGGAACATTAGTTTGCTATCAAGTTAACCTTCTCCTAAATAGGTGGATTTAGTGAAATTTATTTACTTTTACTGTTAGTCTGTGTAATTATCTATAGTAGAGTTACAAATAACTAAGTTACACAGAGCAAGTCCGACTGGTTGATGGAGTCAGTTTTCTTTTCAAAGTTAACATTATATTCATTCCGCCGCGTTTTGTGTATTCATCTTTTATGAATTTTGCTTTTCGTTACATTGACAGTGTCACGTAAGTATGGCGTTGTTTATCTGTAAAGACCTACATTTCTTCATTTCTGATAACCATGATTACTGTGTATCTAATATTTTGCGTTTGTCCTATTTTTGCCTACTCAGATAATCACGACGTATACTCTATTCATACTTACGAACTGGATGTTGGTCGAAAAGTGAGTTTACTGTGTACGAATATTTACAGTCCATATCCTACCTTCCTGTCTCTGCATATATATATATATATATATATATATATATATATATATATATATATATATATATATATTAGTGAAACAAAGTACCACATATCTTATATAATTTTCTGTTCATTTTCAATAATAGTTTTTTTGATATCCAGGTTTTCGGATGAATTCTCTGGTAAAATCTAAATACTATACTATCCACTCAACTGCTTAATTGTCATTAACCAAGCGGATGAGCACTTCATGTACATTTGTTTCCGTTCAACAAGTGAAATCCTAAAATTCCATCTTTTGAAATTTCTTTGTTATACAATCGTACTCAATCCATATATTCATGAAATCGTGAAGGTTACGTATAACGGATAAGTTACAACCAGCTTAAAATCAAAATTTCTTATCGAATATTTTTACAGGTTTGATAATGAAAACACTTTAAATCAATGCATTTAACGTTTTTTCTTGCCTCACGACGCTCTTGTTTTCGTATAGGAAACATTCTCCATTTGATTTCATATAGTTCCTACATAAAAACACTCATCATGTATGGGGAAACAACGGAATGAGGAATGACTGGGTTAAATGTTGAGTACTAGAAAAGCATGGCAAACCAGTTGATTAGGGTGTGTTACTTCATGGAATTAGATGGCTAGAACATGTGACGTATGCCCAACAATCGCCTACCTCGATGCATAATGCTGGACAGCGTAGGAGTAGGTTGCAAAAAAAACTGAGTGGCTAAATCGAGACGTCGCGCCAGTCCATAAACCCATTGATTGTTGAACTAAGCTATGTTAAATGTTGCCGAATACTATCTGCTTTGTGTTTGTTTATTGAATCCGATCACTGGATGAAGATTTTGGATAACATGACTCACAATCGGTTTCAGTGCCATATGCTTCTTCACTCTTCATTTTCCGTTTGACCTAGAGTTTCAGTGTTCCTTTGTTTATACTTTCCTACTTGTTTTCTTTTGAACCATATCCATCAGCATTTAGTCTTTCTCATTGATGCTACTGTTATCAGGACTCTTTCGCCACTCATTTCGTTAATTTCTCCTATGTAGTGATGACAAATAGGGACCTGAGCTAAAGTACGTACATTGGTTATCTCTGACTGGTTTTGAAATGTTTCTATTTCTAATCTAACTAATTTAAATCTGGTTGATATTCAATTACATAACGTTTATCGCATCATTTTTCAAGTAATTACAAATAATGATATAAAGTAAATTCTTCAAATGGAATATATAAAAACACAAATATAATTATTGCGTTTTTCAAGTTGAAATCAATGTGTATTATACAGTGAAGTAAGATGATCACTTAATTGCCTTAAAAATATAATTTGTGAGTAGAAAGTATCAAAAACTCATTCCGAGACTAAAATAAACACAAACACCTTTCCGTAAATTTCAATTGCAAAACTATATTTCTTTAAAATAATATTAGCCTATGCATGAGAAATTCTGTCTTCAAATTATCCATCGCACAATCTTTATTATTTTTGTACTTGACAAAATTTATTTTGTGTGAGTGGTTCTTTTTAATAAGTAATGCATCATATCGTACTGTGCTTAACAGCAGGTTTTGTGTTAATATGTTTCAATTTGTGTAGTCTTGTATGATCTTATATTGTTTCACGTAAATTTATGAATTACACTTTTCGTAATAATTAACCTCTTGTACATGGTACAAAATACAGTAGTTGAATTTTGTTTTCATTTTATATACTTCCTTTTATCAAATGGAATAATGGTCAATAAACTGGAAATTTACTCTGTCTTTCTGCTTATTAGTTCTCCGTATCTAAGAGAACGTGTGTTAAAAATCTGTAGTAAGATGACGTGTGCTTATCGTGATAAGAATAATAACATCGTAAATAAATGATTTAACATAAGAAGTAGGTCAGAATGGATATTATAATTATTGTCACACTCGTCCTCACAAGTCCACGATGCGAATATATCAGCTGCTCCTGTGAAGAACACTTGACAACACGCAACTCAATCAAGGAATGAATGGACGTTTTTTGTGTGGTTGATAAGGGATGAAACGGAAATTTTGTAGCTCCATTTCATCATACTTGGTTAATAGTAGCCATGTGGTAGATAAAAATAAATAATTCCAAGTGGTATATTCTATATTTTCGAAGTTTCACAACAGAGTTTGATCTTGTCTCTTACACATGAAAAGTCATAGGGTTCCGAGCTCATAGCTCTACTCTGCGTTCAGGAAAGATTCGTAAAACTTAATGGACAATGTTACCAATTTTTCATACCGTTTGTTTGGTTTTTGTTATTCATCCTTTACGTATTTCTACTTCACTATATATATATATAATTGTTCTGGTTGTTTCTTTTATTTATTGATAATTTTCAATGATTATTATGTGTTAAATGTTGCTTTAGGACTAGTCTGAGTCAACTCCATTACCGGTGATAAGAGGTGAAGCAGTTGAGAGTTACCCTCTTCGTTTATCTTAAAGGTCTCATCGGTCTTATTGGGTTCGTGTCTGATAAAATTTCTTCACGATTCGAAGAGCTCGACTGACTTTTGCCAACCTGGATTACTTGTGGTGTAGGCGAGATGTCCGTTTCACAAAAAGAGACGAAATTACGTTGTAGTGGTTCGCCGTGTTCTATTTTATGGTTGTGAAATCTAACTGTTGAAAATAGAGGACATTTAAAGATTACTGGTACCCGATTAGACATTTTCGAATCATTCTACGCATATTTTGAGACCACTGAGTGGGTAGCGCTGAGGTTTGACTCAAGGCATACGGTAATATTGACGAATCGCTTGATGAGGTAGTGAATCTTCATCAATTGAAATATTTAGTACACGTGTTAAATATCCTCAACTACCATATACCTCGATGTGCGATGTTGGCTGATGTGGGATTAGGTTTGGAAAAAGCGAGGGGCGGCCGAAACAAAGCGTATGTATCAGTCCATGAAGTCACTGAGAGTTCAGTCGATCCGTGTTGGTAGGTTCAGTTTACCTGACTGGGGTTGATGTGGTTGTCGTAATCAATGGTCGGGGACAATGGGTTATATGGCTAAAAACCGGTCGCATTGTCGCAGATGCATTTACTCTTTGAATTCCCTTGGATCCTGAGTTTAGAAATTGTTTTACACTTTTTTAAGTCCACTGATTCGTCTATTTTTTGGGATGATGTCATATATAGATAGCCTTTTCTATTGAAATTGGTAATCTGACTACTTCTACTACTCTGCGATTCGTCTTGTCAATTTAGTCTTGTAGTGCTCATGTGGTGAGGCAACATCCGGAACTAGCTTTGGTTAGACAATCACTGAGAACCAGAAACCACTGGACAGCTATTCTGACTTAGTATGAACTTCTCATGGTAGTGCATCTACGACCGCATAGGGATGAAACCTAAAGAATTTAAATCTTGCAGCGAGTGATCAAAATTTGAACCATTGAGCCAGCATCCAATGGTTTGTTTATCTAACTCCAATCAATTTCTGATATTGCGCATCGAACTTTCCATTAATTTTTATTTGTTCTGACCTACTTCTTATTTGAATCATTCATTTACGCTGTTATTATTCTCGTCAAGATTAGTACACATGTCGTTTTACTACAAATTTATACATTTTACTGATTATTATTGGCTACGTAATCTGTTCCATTAATATAATTGACCTATAAATTGCCTTAACTGGATTAATCGTTTTCATATGAAAATACGTCACTGTATATAGAGTAAATCCTGTATAAAACATTTTTCGCCCAGATTTGTCGTTTTAATTTACATCATGGGGATTTTTAGTTCATAGAAATAGTTTAGATAAAGTGATTGTATGGGAATTGGTTTTATTTGTAAGTTGTATTCGTCATTGATTGGTCTCATTTAGGATACCATAGTATGGAATTTTCCTGCCGAAATATATTTCTTCAAATCAAATAAATAGGCATGTGTTGTAGTTTTAGTGTTGTAATCTGCCAAGATTCCTCACTTTGTTGCTTTGTCTGTAGAGTAGGTAATTTCTAGTTGTTGTGTTAATGGTCTCAAAAATGTCGTCATAAATATGTAGAATCACAATATTTGCAGCTAAGTGATAGAGCTTGCTCACGCATAACAGGTGTGTCTAACGGGAGCATTTGTGGCAAGCCCATTTGGCTACTGTATCATTTATCTAGTTATTGTAACTCAGACTCAATTCACTATGTTAATTTCGGTGTGTATGATCGAATGTATGTCTGTACATTAACTCTTAAGCTATTTTCCTATTGGTTTCAATGTGCAGATAATCGATAATCTATCCACACCCGATTAACTCTCAAATATATATGGATTTTTAACAGACTCACTCACTCTCTCTGTTTCATCGTGTGCTTGCTCACCGTACGCTTGTGGATTATTATTATTCATTAACAATAAACTATCTCTATAACTGGTGTTCAGGCTTTTTAATAATCTCGAGTAAATTCGCAATTCTACTAGGAGATTAAGCCTACCTAAAATACTCAGTTACGGGATATTATTATTTGGAGTCAGATATTGAGGACATTATCCACAACATATTGGTGAACCGCTTTTAGAACACACACCATTCCTCTACGAATTCTGCTGCATACTCTCCAAGCGTATCTTAAAGAACTTCACATTGGAATTACTATTACAATTATTAACAATTCATTAACAGTCATAATAAATCCATCCATAACATTGTTCCTTTGGAATTATTGCTGTATATTCGCATATTTAAACCAAAAGTGACAGTTTTTCTTTTCGGTGAGTCTTATATATATTTCTTGTTGTTATTTTTGATTTCTCTTCATATTGTATATTACAATCCTCGGCTTATTATTACTATTGCTTCTTCGTATCATGGCACTTGATAATTCGCTAAGCCTTTCATCTAAATCTATTTCCGTGGGTGCCATCTCTGTACCTTTACCTACTTTTAATTCACGAAAGGCTGAACTCTGGTTCGCTCGTTT